AAAGAAAACCGAGATCAGCAAAAATATCTGCCAAGAGATGCTGCAATAAATGAAACATCTAGGATGTGACCTCTTCTGGATCTGGCCTCTTTTGGGTTAATAACATTTCCAGAGTTCAATGCTTTTACTAACAAAAGCAAGAGTAACTTATAACTATAAATTTATGCATTACCAACCTGCCCATCATATCACTTAAAGCAGCATTCCACACCACCCTGACCACAGCTCTGGTACTAGGCTGCTGTGGTTTCATCAATCAGTCCTGCCTAGCCTGTCAGATCAACTACCATATGCTACACACTCAAAATCTTCTTGGAAAGTGAAAATGAAACATGCTCATGATAAAAAATTACAAGAAGACAGACACAGTGATACACATCTGTAACCCCAGCTACTCAAAAGGCTGAGGCAGGAGGATCAAAGGTTCAAGGCCAGCCTGGGTAACTTAACGAGACCCTGTCTCTCAAAAAATAAAAAGGGTGGGCCAGGGATATAGCTCAGTGGCACAAGTGCCTGCGTGGCAAGTGCAAGGTCCTGAGTTCGATTCCCGGTACCAAAAAAATAAAAAGGGTGTTGGAGATGTAGCTTGAGCTAGGTAGAATATCTGCCTATCATTTGTGAGGCTCTGGGTTCAATGCCACAAAAAAATTAATTAGTTAGTTGAGTAATAGGGACTGGGGATGTAGCTCTGTGATAGAGCAACACTGCCTGGGGAGGATTACAATGACAGAGCAGGATTTATAAAGAAAAACATTCTACCTCATAGAAATAACTATCATTTAGAGTAGGGACTCTTTTAACTTTTTTAAAACTTCTTTAGTGCTACTGGAATTGAAAAGATTAATCCCTCTCTTTTAAGTATCTTAGAAAACAACTGCTGTTTGGATATACTTGTATTTAGAGACCTAAAAAAAATTTTAACCGTGCTTTAAATTTAAAACCTGCTTGTCTTTGCCACACTAGGAAAACGCAACCAGTGGTTTTTGCAATTTAAGTAAAATACAGTGATGAAATAACTAGAGACTAATTCTACCAGGAAGGTGAGGCATTACATAGCATTTTTATATTATGACCTTAAATCTATTTTAAGGTCAAATGCATCCACAAATATTATGATACTTGCAACAACTGTAACCTAACTCTACAAAAACAGAGGCTTAGAGATTTACAACACCTGCCCAAAGTCACCTAGCTAGGAAATAATGGAACCTGAGCTAAAACCAGGCACCTCTTGGAGAATGTTCGTGGTCTAATGTAAGACCAAGCACTGAAAGGTTGTTTCTGGTTTTTGTTTGTTTTACAAAAACAAAGGAGGACATAAAATAGGAAAAGCCCCTAACAGCCATACTTTCCTAGAAACAAAATAGCAGGTGCAAGAATATATTGACACTTGAAAAAGATGCCCAAGAAAGTTTGTAAAATGCCCAGAAAAGTACTGGCTCACCTGACAGTGTACTAATTTAACGGGGGGCTTTCAACTGGTTTTTGGTGGATTTTTTTGTTGTTTTTGTTTTTTGGAGACAGAATCTCTACCTAATCGCTAGGTAGTTCAGATTGGTCGTGAACTCATTATGTGGTGCAACTCGCGGCAATCCTCTTGCCTCAGCCTCCCGTGTCCCGGGATTACAAACGCGCGCCACCACAGCGGGCGGCTTTCAACTTTTTCATCAAAAATATGTCAGATTAAGTAACAAAATGCAAAATTCTTCATTACTAAGAAAAATAAACTACAAATAAATGACAGGTAGGTCTCTCAGTCTGGCAATTCACTCTCCTCCACCTGTAGGATAACCCCCCCCCGGGAAGTTTGGGGCGCCCGGACCTTAATTTCAGTCAAATGGTGATTTCCATGAATGAACTGCAGTCGACAACTAAAAGATGAGCTGCGGTTAGGAGGAAATCTTCGGGCGCTCGCGGGCACTCGGCGGCGGTTACACAGCACCGTCCCGAGGCATCCAAGCTGCAGAGACGCCGCGGGGCCGGACGTCGGCACGCCGCTCTGAAGGAGCCAATCGGGGCGCGGGCCTGGGGCAGGCTCCCCAGCGCCCCCAGCGGCCGGGCGGAGAGGGGGCTACCCGGGTAGGCAGCATACAGTTTTGCGCGCAACGTTTTGTCTGTTTTTATTGTTTCTCTTGCAGTCCTTGCCACGTGTGGAGTGGGAGGGTCTCCGGTGTTAGGGTCTTGTGAGAAACCGCTTGGCTACGCCGTCTCCCTGCCAGTCAGCGTGTGGCAAAACAGCGCCTAAGTGGAGTTGCCCTTTTAATTGCGGTTGCTGGAGTCAGAGTGCCGTTGCTGCTTTAAGGCCGGCGCTAGCCGCTGTTCCGGGGGCGGGGCCTCGTCTCTGGCTGGCGCGGGGCTGATTCCTTCGGGGGCTGGAGCACCGAGTGTAGACGTAGGCGCTGGCGCAGACGGTGCCTCGCTCCTGATTGGCTAGTCCCCCAGCCGCCCTCTCCCTCGCTCCGCCCCTGGGTTCCCTCCCGGGTCCGCAAGAAACGCTCCCTTCTCGCTGCTTGACCCCTGGTTCTTTCTTCCCTCTGTCCCTCCCTACTGCCGCCGTTGCTTCAGGAGCTGCCGCTCCCGGAGGAGCTCCCGGCACGGTAATGGGGTCTCGGGCCTCCACGTTACTGCGGGACGAAGAGCTCGAGGAGATCAAGAAGGAGACCGGCTGTGAGTTGGGCTTGGCGGGTGGGAACGCGGCCCGGCGCCTTTGGCCGGCCTCGGGACCGAGCGCAGTTGTCGCCGAGGTCTGGACTTGGGGAACCTTAAGGTGGAGGGGTCTCGGGCAGTCTGCAGCGCGGGGGGCCGAGGACTGGAGAACCTGTCCGTCCAGCTGCAGCTCGCGGGAGCCGGGCTGCGGCTCCTGGGGGGCTGTCCTTCCCCTCAAAGTTGGAGTCTCATCCACTCCCCTACCCACGAAAGTCCCCGAATTCCCTTCCTTTATCTTCCGTCCAACTAACCTTCCTTGTGAAGAGACAACCTGACCCGTAGGAAGAGCCCTAATAACAGATTCAGGAACTCTGAATGGGTCCTGTAGAAAACACAGTCTGTTTCTTTGACGTTTTTAGGCAAGGACCTAAAACCGCTAATAACTGTAGGGAAATCACAAATTCTTGTCACAAACTGGAAAAATAAACTCAGAAAGCAAGATCGTATGGTAGGGCGTTGAAAGGCGTGATCCGGTGACTGCAGAGCTTTAAAGGGGTCTGAGGAAAAAAACCAGGGTACTCCGACCACCAACACCGAACATACTTGCTGTCCTAATTTCACGTATTGATTTCTACTGTCCTACTGCATAAAGCAGTCGCTATTGAAATTGGATGTACTCCAAAAATGTCAAGGTGAATCTGTACTAGGAACTGAGTTTTTGTAGTACAATCTCTTCCTCCTTAACCTGAACAAAGGAGCAACAGGGCGTTGGAATTGAGAAGCTCTGTGAAACACCATCGTACTTTGAATAACCATTGATAATGCAATATGTGGTGCAGTCTTAATGATGCATACCGTATTTCCTCACAAATCCTTTATGATTTGTCGAGTTAGAAGTTGTACATGCTGTGTCTTTTATGATACTTGTGTTTGGTAATGGCATACTGAGTAACTCGGTGGCCCATAAACAGTACTGAGGAGTGCTGGGAGAACTACAGAATTACTCAGGCAGTAGGGGCCTGGAATAAATCAAAAGCTGTCCTGTGGTTTCTGACAAATTCCACTTTTTTTTTTTTTTTTTTTTGAGAGAGAGGGTCTTAATACAGCGTCTTCACAGAGTTCAGGCTAGCTTTGAACTCACTGTGTACCCCAGGCTGGCCTGGACCTCTTGGTAATCCTCCTGCTTCAGCCTCCCAAGTGCTGGGATTACAGGCATGCACCACCACATCCAGCCAAATTCCACTTTCAATAGAGAGATGCTATTTTTTTAAAATTTTTATTAGTACATGTTTGCAGGGTGTATGATTACATTCATCATGGGGAGTTGGAACCTGTACATAATGTCTGAATTCCCTACCCAGCATGTTCCTCTCCTCTCCCCGCTCCCTCCCTCCATTTCTTGGAAGAGATGGTATCTATTCCCACCTTTTATCAGATGGATTTACTTCCTTCATCATCTCCTAACACGGGGCCATTAGCCTCTCCATAAAGACCTTTAGCCATGATGATGTCACCACCTAACAAGCAATCCATTTCACAATTTTGTTATTTTTATTTTATTTTTTTGTCTTTTTGAGACAGGGACTAGCTATGCAGTTCAGGCTGGCCTTGAGCTCACTTTGTAGCGCAGGCTGGTCTCAAACTTGTAACAATCCTCCTGCCTCAGCCTCCCGAGTGCTGGGATTACAGGGGTGCACCACCACGCCCGGCTGCATTTCACAATTTTGAATGGATGTTGGAAAGTGGTTAGCTAATTATAATCTGCAGTACTTGTTTGACCACTTAACCTTATGGTCATTTTATGATTTGTTCTGACTCCAGGACTGGAATATAATGAGTTTGGATTCAGCAAGCATTTTATTACATTTTGTCACCATGACCTCTGGTCATACTTGCACATATGACTACTTTAGATCTAGGGTGACACCCAAATTAAAGCATTCGTACTTAAAACAAAGAGTCACATAATGAAGTGTAAACCACTGTGAGGATAGAGAAAGCTGTTTTTTCCTCAGATTGAAGGGAGTAATAATCCCCTTCTGGTTTATTTACATTTGACCAAATGAAAGGGCCTGGATTCCTATGAAACTGTGGGTTATTTTACCATGAGACTTGTGGACAAATAGAACTGGGAACTGGGGGAAGAGCTGTTTTCCTGGTTGGCAGAGTGACTCAGACATGAGGGTGGTTCTCAACCAAAATCAGTGCAAACGCATGTATGAAGCCTAAAAAAGGACTTACTGAATTTTTTCAGTGTCTGTGTTCAGTATTTATTATATTGGGTACTCAGAGCAGATGGTGACAAAAAAACGCCCACATCCTGCAGGGGAGAAAAACCTGAGAGATTTCTGATTAGCATCATGACATAAGGAAGCTGAAATTATGTGGCACCCGCCTCCATAGGAAGGTTGATTGGATGGAAGATGAAGGAAGGAGAGAGTCTGTCCACTGGCCACGTGGAAGACAGGAATTGGGCCTTGGTCCCTGTGAGAACAGGTTAGATTTGGATAAAGTAACGTAGGGTATTTTGGGGTGGCTTCCAGGAACATTCTTCCCCAGCCTGGTACAAAATTGTTCCTCTAGAGTCATCAGTTTATCTAGTTAGTGCATATCAGAGTTGTTTCTTAAAGCATTAATTTTAACTTAATGCACAATATTTAGAAAAGTTGAGAACAACACATACCTTTAGGGTTGTATAAACAGGTAAAATTTGACCTATTTTCATCCTTCTCTTGTTTGAGAAAGAATTATTTAGGGAAATAGCAGTCAGAAACACATGAATGACAAATATTAGACATTTTACTACTCCCGTTACCAGTTAGAAAATGTATCCTATTGAGGAGACCCAACTTTGTACTCAGTATGAAAGCTTTGCATTGGAATTGATGATTGTAGTTAAATATTTTGTCATTAATTTGTTTTGGTTAGAATTCGTGTATGACTAGTTGAACTTAAAATTTAGCCACTGAATATTTTAAAAAGTAATTCTAGATAAAAATTACCTATGAGCCTCATTTTCATCATTTGAAAAATAAGAATAGTAGTAGTATCTATTTTATAGGATTCTTATGCCCATAAGTGAAATAAATTATGTAAACCATTTAGAATAGTGTTAGATGTAAGTGCCATGTAAATGTTAATATATATGTATGTATTTATTTATTTTTGGCCGCGTTGAGGTTTGACCCCAGTGCCTTGGCCGCAAGCTACATCATCAGCATTTCTCTTTTTTTTTTTTTTCTGGTATGAGTTTTGAACCCAGGACCTTTGCACTGAGCTACACCCAGCCCCTCCCTCCTTTAAAAAATGTTTTAAAGGCTGGGCTTGGTGGCACGTGCCTGTGATCCTAGCACTTGGGAAGCTGAGGAGGAGGATCACCACAAGTTTGAGGTCGGCCTGGGCTACATAGTGAGTTCAGGGCCAACCTGGGCTACATAGTGAGTTCAGGGCCAACCTGATCTACACAGGGAGATCCTGCCTCAAAGAAACAAAAAAAATATATTTCTTTTTTGAGATAGGGCTAAGTCTTTAAATTTCCTAGGCTGAGTTTGAACTGCCAGTCTTCCTGCCTTAGCCTCCCAGAGTGCTGGGATTACATGTATGCACCACCACACCAAGCTGGGTGTTACTATTTTGAACCAAAGAGAGCAGTCATGATTTTTTGGAAAATACAGTTATATATGCTAGCTATAAAAACTGTGTCTAAACCAGTTGGGAAACTGAAGCAAGAGGATCATTTGAGCCTTAGGAGTTCAAAGCCAGCTTGGGTGAGTTCACACCCAGCTTGGTAGCAAGACCATGTGTCAAAAACAAACAAACAGAAAGTGTTTAGTTAGAGCTATATATTTGGGGAGGTGGCAACATTTTATGTTTGTCCTGTTTTCTTTTCACCAGGCAATAGGAATCAAGTATAGATATTGTTTTGTCAGTTCTGTAGAAGTAAATAGAATACAAAGCCTGCTCTTTCTAACAGTTTTAAGAAATACTTTGTGTTGGTACAACACATTTGCTAGATTGTCTTCCACTGCCTTACACTTTTTGCACTTTTTGGTTCTGGAATTTGGATTTTTTAATTTTTATTTTTTTTCCTTTTCAATGCTGGGGCTTGAACTCAGGGCCTCACACATGCTAGGCAAGTACCTTACCACTGAGCTATAGGTATTGGGGTTTGCATTGAGCTACATTCCCCCATAACCCCACCTTTTTTTTTTTTTTTTTTTTTTTGAGACAAAAAGGTCTCACTAAGTCTCCAGGTTGCCCAAACTGGACTCAAACTTGTTATCCTCCCAGAGTGCTGGGATTATAGACATTGCCATCATGCCTGGCTAACATCTCTACTTTTTTTGTTTGTTTTATTTTTGTTTTTATTTTCTTAAGACAAGTTCTCACTATGTAGTTCAGGCAGGCCTTCAGTTTACCGTGTAGTCCAGGTTGGCCTCAAGCTCTCAGCAGTCCACCTGCCTCAGTCTCCCAAGTACTGGAATTACAGGTAAGGGCCACCAGGGTTGGCTCTACTTTTCTAGCTTTTTCTTTTTTTTTTTGAGATGAGGTCTTGCCAGGTGGCTCAGGCTGGCCTTGAAATCACAGTGATCCTCTTGCCTCAGCCTCCAAAGTGCTGAGATTACAGGCTTGTGCCACCACACCCCTAGCAACTCTACATCTTTATGAAGTTCATTTGAATAAAAGATGTAATCAGAGGAAGGTCACAAATGTTGGGAGTTTCTATAATCTCCACCCTTAGTTCTCTTAACTATAGCAATAGCCATGAGTTACTTAAAACCTTAATTATGAGAAACAGTTCATGCCAACTAAAGCCTGATGAATGCAGATTGATTTATTTTTAGTCTACATTCTAGTTTGAGTCATAGTGTGGGGGGAGGGTGTTGAACAGGTTTAGGAAGTAAGTTGTACTGGCTGGTAAGGTTCTGTTTGTTTGAAAGGGTGTAGTGATGATATGAAGGGTGTGGGTTTCTCTGTACTTCAACAAAGAACACAAGCCTGGCAGAAGCAATCACTTGAGA